ACAACCTCTAGCCACTTGGAATGGCTGTCAACAACGATCAGGAAGAATTGCCCCTGAAAGGGCCCAGCATAATCTATATGCACCCTTGACCATGGGGTTTGAGTTTCCTCCTACCTATGAAATCCTGAGGCATTTCAGGCCATGACTGTTGGCACAGTTGGCAGCGTGCACCTGAGCCTCGATGGCTTTATCGATTCCAGGCCACCAAAGATGGCTGCGCACAAGCGCTTTCATCCTGACTATACCAGGATGTCCCTCATGCAGAGAGAGCAAGACTCTAGACCTCAATGAGGCTGGGATTACTACCCTGCTACCCCATAATAGGCAACCCTTGAAAATGGAAAACTCATGCTTCTTGTGCCAGAAGCTTTGGAACTCAGTATCTGGGCACTTGTCAGGTCATCCTGACAACACCCAGGTCAGCACGCGTGTAAGCATGTGATCAGTGGCAGTTTCTGCAGCGTTTAGGGGAGATTCAGGCAACTCCTGAATGGAAAGAATATTGATAGCAGGAGCAGGATCTGCCTCTACCTGTTTCAGAGGTAATCTGCTTAGGCCATCTGCATGACCCATCTCTTTTCCAGGTTTGTGAACTAGAGTGTAGTCATATGCTGACAGGAAAATGGACCATCTCAGCATACGAGGAGAAATGATATGTGGTGTCTGTTTGTTAGTGGTAAACAAACCCAGCAGAGGCTTATGGTCTGTATAGATTGTGAAGTGGCAGCCATATAAGAAATCATGGAATTTCTTTATGCCAGCCACTATGGCCAAGGCTTCTCTGTCAATCTGAGCGAAATTCTGCTCTGCAGATGACAGAGTCCTTGAATAATAGGCCACAGGGACTTGTATCCCATCAGCCTTCAGATGGCTAAGTACTGCTCCCACCCCATAAGGAGATGCATCGCATGTAATGCAAACAGGCAATTGCTCATTGAAATGTGCTAAAAAAGCATTTGAAGTGAGCAAGGCCTTAACCTCATTGAAGCTCCTGTCATGGACTTTGGTCCACTGCCATGGAAACTGCTTGTCTAAGAGCCTGTGTAACAGCTCTGCCACTGCAGCCTTATGTGGGAGAAATGCATGGTAAAAATTTAAGAGCCCCAAGAAGGCTTGGACTCGGGGCTTGGGGCCTGCTGAATAGCTTGCAATTTGGATTCAGCAGGGTGAATGCCTTGGGCATCAATCCTGAACCCTAAGAAGTCAGTGGAAGTGACTCCTATCTTGCATTTATCCTGCTTTAATTTAAGGCCTGCTTTTCAAAAACGAAGCAAGACAGCCCTTAGCCTTTTTGCTAAATTTTGAGATGACTCCCCAGCAATGAGGACGTCATCGAAGTAGGGACAGACCCCAGGAATACCTTGAAGTGTGCTCTCCATGACACTTTGGAATATGCTAGGGGCTACATTTACCCCAAATTGCAGTCTTTTGACCTTGAAGGCCCCCCTATGAGTTACAATAGTCTGGGCCTCTGCCGATGCCTCATCAACAGGTAGCTGTTGATAGGCCTGTGCCAGGTCAAGTTTTGCAAAAATGCACCCCCCCCCCCTTGAGGGAGGCCAGAATGTGGCTTACAACAGGCACTGGATAAGTGTGCTGTTGCAATGCTTTATTCAGTGTGCATTTATAGTCTGCACATATACGGATTTCCCCATTAGCCTTTAGAGGCGTTACTATGGGGGTTTCCCATGGACTAGAATCCACAGGTTCTAAAATGCCCTGTTGGAGCAATTTGTCCAGCTCAGCATCTATCTTACCCTTGAGGGCAAAAGGTACCCTCCTAGGCTTTACCCTGATGGGCATGATGGTTGGGTCTAACCGTAGTGCAATGGAAGGCCCCTTGTAGGATCCTAGCTCTGAACTAAACACATCTGCAAACTCCTTGCAAACCTCTGCAAGGCCCAACATTTGCAAGTTGTGCAGCACAGTTACTTGGATTCCCAGAGCCTCGAACCAATCAAGTCCAGTAAGACTTGTACATTCACCCCCAGCTACCACCACATCCAGGAAACCTTCAAAATTCTTATGGTGTACCTTGAGTGTGGCCTCCCCATTCACACATACCTTAGAATTTTGAAAATCAGTGAGTATTAGGTTCGATGGCCTGAGTTTAACTCGAAGGCCACTGCTTCTGCAAATCCTTTTGAAGGTGTTAATTGAAATAATTGAGAGAGCGGACCCTGTGTCCAACTCCATCAATAAGGGAACCCATTGCAATCTCATGTTAATGCAAATTTTCTTCTTAAGGGGCTTGTGTGTGTCTCTGTCCTAACAATACTCCTGCGCGATGCACAGAAGCCCACCCTGTGTTGGCTGGGGACGCTGGTACCTTTCTGAAGCAATTCTTCCCAAGGTTGGACCTTCTGGCGACCCAAACAGATGGAGGCTATGTGGCCTTGCCTGCTACATGCCCTGCAAATGGCAGAGCGGAACCTGCAGTCAGCTCGCTTGTGGCATCCTCCACACCCGAACCACTGAAGAGATGCTGGGGCCTTGTCTGGACATCCCTTTGGCCTCCTCTCAGCTGGCTGGTGAAGTCTGTCCACCTCCTCCTCAGGATCCGCTTCTGATTCTTCTTGAGCGTCCTCTTGATGGATGGTAGCTGTGGCTGGAGGGTTCCTGGCAAGCCTCAAAGCCTTCACAGACCCGCCTGCTGCTTCCTCAGCTGCCATCTCTCGTATCGCGTCTTGGAAGGAGACATCTTCTTTTGCAAAAATCTTCTGTTGTAAGTCTCTGTTTCTTAAGCCACATACGAAGCAATCTCGCAGCCTCTCTTCCAGATCCTTGAACTCACAAGGCCTGGCTGCTTGCCTTAAGGCAGCAATAAAGTCCGCAGCAGATTCACCTGGCCTCTGGTCTCTCTGCTGGAATGCATGCCTCCAAGCAATGATGGATAACTTCGGCTTTAAGTGTTCCTTCAACATCTTTTTCAAGTCAGCATATGTTACTGACTCCAGAAGTGCAGGGGCCACCAGATTTTCTGCGATGTCAAAAGCTTCTTGTCCACAGGCACACAAAAGAGTTGCTGCCTTCAGGCCGTCTTCTCTTATCTGATTTACTCTAAAGTAGTTCTCCACCCGTGCTACGTAGGAATTCCATCTCTCTGGGTGGGAGACATCAAAATCAGTCAAGCAGCCAATCTTCAACATCGTAAAATTTACAACCTTCACCAATTGCCTCCTCTGCAAGCTGATGTTTGGGAAAGGGTCCTTTAGCCAAGCTCACCCCCAGCGACGCTGTACTGGCAGGCTGAGACGCTGATGCAGACGCCGTCTTCCCCCTAGTCAGGACTTCCTGGGTGAGTCCTTAATTCTTTTTTTTTATTGCTTGCAGAGGATCCCACCTTCATCACCAATGTTGAGTTCTTGGTTCGTGTGTAATTGATGAAGACACATGGTGACAATTAACAAACACTTTATTCCCTCCTCCTACAACCATGCAAAAAAGCAAAAGGCACGCAGGCCTTTTATAGGGCCAGAAACCAGACAGTGTTAACCAATAGGAATTTAGCATTTTCACGCTGGCGCCACTCTGTCTGGCCCCGGGCAGCTTTTGGAATGCCCGGGATCAATTGCAACATTCTGAGCCTGCTTTCAGCTCTTGCAGGCTCAGGACACAACAGTGGTCTTACAAATATGTGAAAATATACTGGATAAATATAAAAATGATGATGCAGAAAATATTTAAGATACAAATATTAATTAAACATAATTGTTTTCTTTTAGATATGATGGAGAAGCCAATTGAAAAACAATTTGAGGTGCTATTCCTTCACATCAGGGTTCCTCAAACTTTTTAAACAGGGGGCCAGTTCATTGTCCCTCAGATTGTTGGGGCGGGCAGACTATAATTTGAAAAAAATAATGATTATAGAACAATGTAAAATCAAGTATAAAATGAAAAAATGAAACAAGAAAAATTGATTGATTAATTATTTGAATGAGTTTTTAAGTGAAGAAAATATACAACATTTCCAGTGAATCCACACATGTTTTGTTTGGGAATGCAACTGCTAGTTTTTCCACAAATAGTTTTTAAATTGTGGGAAGATGGCAGAAGTTTTCCTTTCTCACTTGTTTAATGAGTATGTCCAATTTTACTTCAAATGCTTTCACATATGAATGCATATCACAGATGAGCTTCCCCTTTCCTTTAAGTTGCACATTGAAACTGTTGAGTAGCTCTGTTACATTTGTCAGAAAGGCAAGATGCCATTTCCATTCAGCATTTCTTGCAGATGTCTCATGACCCAAACTAGGTAACATCAGCAGTGCCAGAAGAGAGAGGGTTTGTGGAGTGAAGGAGAAGAGAAGAGGAGGAGGGCAGTTGTGGGTTCCTTGGTCCTCTCTGAGCTTCATGGCTTTCTTGTAGACATCTCATGACCCAAACTAGGTAACATCATCAGTTCACTTATTATCCCATTTTGGGTCCTGAAACATCTACAAGAAAATCACCATCCTCAGAGACCTTCCCCCAAGGACCCTTCATTTTAACCCTGAGACAGAAGTATTCTCCTTGATTGGCATACTAGACTGTCTCAAGGCAGAAGAACCTGCCTGGCAGGATCTCATTCCTCTTTCCCATGGGGCGCATGGCAATGCCCCCATCCTTCCTCCACTTTTTCCTGGATCCTAAAGGCCAATGAAGTTTCTCTCAACCAACAGCACCAGCACCCCTGGTTCCTCTGAGCTGCTCCACTGCCTCCCGCTTTGTCTAGCTCTCAGGGCTTCACCTGGATGCGGCACCCCCCCATTTGTAGATCGGGATGCTCCTCCAAAGGCTGACCACGTCCTCCCTCCCAGCAACTCCACCGACCTTTCATTGCCTCAGCTCAACACAACCCCTCACAACCTCAAAATAACCTTCCAGGAGCAAATTCTCCTCCTTTTTTCTTGCTCACCCTGGTCGCCCCTCACAAATACCTTGCCCTTCAGCCACTCCCCTCAGACCCATAACCAGCACCCCACTCCAGAAGCCCCACTGGGGTCAAGCCCACTCACTTGGAGCCATTGCACTCGCCACCTCCAGTGGGGCTGAGTCCCTCAGCGATGGTGGGGTGACGTTGAGGGCCAGCGACACCAGTTTCCTCTTGGCTGGCATGGTGGCGGCAGCAGCAGTGGAGGCTGGGGCTTGCATTCTGTAGCTCCTAGAGAGTGACCCGCTAGCAATAGCTTAGATAGCAAGAAAAAATAGGGAGAACAGACAAAGGCAAAATATACTACAGGAAGAGATTAAAAAATTTGAATCTAAACTACAAAAAGAGCCTCAGGATGAATTGATTAAAGTGGGAATGGCATTAGCTAAACATAAATTAAATGTGATGGAACAAGAAGAAAGAGTTAAAGAATTGAAATTGGCGAAACAAAATTTTTTTGAACATGCAAATAAACCTGGGAGATGGCTCTCTTATAAACTGAAAAAAGAGAAAGAGAAAAAAATTATTCAGGAACTTTATGATAGAAATGGAGAGTTACAACATAAAATGGACAAAAAGAAAGAAATAATTCAAACCTTCTTCGAGTCATTATATAAAAAAAATGAAATAGACGGGGAAAAGATTAAACAATATTTAAAGGTGAATGGTCTGCCAGAATTAAAAGAAGGACAAAGAGACATACTGAATGGGGAAATAACAGTTATGGAATTAAAAATGGCGGTGCAAAAACAAAAAAACAATAAGACCCCGGGACTGGATGGCCTTCCAGGGGAGCTATATAAAACCTTCCACGAAGATTTTGAAAAGATATTACTGGAGGTGTATAATGATGTGTTGGAGAAATCTGATTTACCAGACTCCTGGATAGAAGCCATCATATCTCTTATCCCAAAAGAAGGCACAGACCCCAAACAGATTAAAAACTATAGGCCAGTCTCGTTGCTAAATACTGATTATAAAATTTTTACTAATATAATGGCTGAAAGCTTAAAGTTAATTTTACAGGATATAATACATCCAGACCAAAATGGTTTTTTTTTACCCAAAAGACAAATTAGAAACAATATTAGAATGGTGTTAAATGTTCTAGAGTATTATGAAATGCACCCAGAAAAACAGGCAGCTTTGATTTTTTTAGATGCACAGAAAGCATTTGATAGCCTCAATTGGCAATTTATGTTCCAACAGATTGAGGACATGAAATTTGGTGAGAAATTCAGTAACATAATAAAGGCAATATACAGAACACAGAGGGCTAGTGTGATAATTAATGGAGAGAACACGAAAAGTTTTGAAATAAACAAAGGGGTAAGACAGGGATGCCCAATTTCACCTCTACTTTTTATCTTGACTCTTGAAGTATTATTAGTTCAAATTAGAGCGAATAAAGAAATAAAAGGGGTACAGGTCAAAACAGAAGAGTATAAGATACAGGCATTTGCTGACGACCTGGTTTTCTTCATTGAGGAACCTTATAGAGAGAGGAAATATTCTGATGGGTGAAATAGAAAAATATGGAATAGTGGCAGGATTAAAAATTAATAGAGAAAAGACTAAAATGTTAGTAAAAAATTTAACTGACAAACAGAAAAGGAAATTGGAAGAGAACTTGGAATTACAAGTAACGAAAAAGATTAAATATTTAGGAATTTGGTTAACCTCAAGGTGTTCCTCAATAAAAGAAGACAATTATACAAAATTGATACTAAAAATGAAACAAGACCTTGAGGAAACTCCAATGATCACTATTAGGCAGGATTGCATTGACTAAAATGAATATACTACCAAGATTATTGTATTTATTCCAAACAATTCCAATAAAATTAGAGAAATTTTTTTTGAAAGAATTGGATAAAACAATAAATAAATTTATTTGGGCGGGCAAAAAAGCTAGGATAAATATGAAAACGCTACAAGATAGTAAGAGTAGAGGTGGTCTTGGACTTCCTAAATGGGAAATTTATTACTATGCAACAGGGTTATTATGGATCAAAGACTGGATAAACTTGGATAACGAAAGGATACTAATGATTGAAGGACACAATCTACAGGCGGGCTGGCATGCATTCCTATGGGGGAAACAGAAGAAAACATATACATATTTCCAGCAACATCAGATAAGAGGAGCATTGATCGGGATATGGGAAAAAATAAAAAAAAAGACATTATGGGAAAATTCCAAATTGGTTTTCGCCGATGGAGGCAGTGATTCACCCCAACACATTAGAGAAAAAAAAGATGATTAGGTATAAAGAATTACTAGAAAACTGAGGAAATCTTAACTCAAGAGAAGGGTTGGAGGAACAAAGAATATCCATAGACTGGTGGCCGTATTTACAAATTCAATCTAGATATAATAGGGATAGGCAAGGACATGGAATAAGTCAGACCCCACATCAACTTGATAAAATTCTAACAAGTAAGGAAGGAAAATTATTATCAAAAGTTTACAAATACTTATTAGAGATAGATTTAGAGGAAGAAATAGTGAAGGGGCCGATGATAGCGTGGGCATGAAATGTGGGGCGAAATATAAATTTGGAGGAATGGGAAAGATTATGGAACATAAATTGCAAACTGACGCTATCAACTGCATACAGGGAGAACCAATATAAAATATATAGATGGCATTTAACACTGGCGAGGTTGGCCAAAATGCACAAAAATATAGACCCGAAGTGTTGGAAATGCAAAATTAGAGAAGGAACATTTTATCATATGTGGTGGCTGTGCCCCAAAACAAAAAACTATTGGGAACGAATAAGAGATTGGATACAGGAGATAACTGAGGTACAAATGGACTTTAAACCGGAATTATTTCTTTTAGGCATAATAAATTTAAAGATTGAAAAACAACTCCAACACATCATTATACACATATTGACTGCAGCTTGTATAGCATATGCTCAATGTTGGAAGAGTGAAAATATACCCACAAATGACATGATTATGTACAAAATCTTGGAATGCACAGAAATGAACAAACTCATGTTAGAATTAAAAGACAAAGAGACAACAGAATTTTATGAAATTTGGAATAAATATTATAATTGGCTAGAACAGAGAAAGAAAAAGATATAATTATTGATGTAAATAAAATGTAAATAAGATGTAAAGAATGATTAAAATGTATAGCACTGTTCTGTTAAAAGAAAAGATTTATGTTTATGTATTTTAAGTTTGTTTTGGTGTATGGTGAAAAAATAAAATTAAAAAAAAAGAGAGAGAGAGAGCGACCCGCCTCAGAAGCAGCAGCAGTGGCATTGTCATTGCCTGGTTTGACTGCCCTAAGCGAGGCCGAGGCTGCAAGCGAGGCCTAAACCACTCAGCCCGGCCCTGAGGTAAAAATGCAAAGAGGCAAGAGGAGGAGAGGAAGGGGATGTGGCCGAAGCATGAGTGCACGCCCTGGTGCACAAGGGAGAAACTGGGAAAAAAACATTTCCCACCAACTCACTGTCCTGCCATTGGCTGGGGTTCTCATCGCCATCCACCTGTCCTCACTTTGTGACTGGATGGTTTGCCCGGGAGGTTGAGGTGGGCTGGATAAAAAGACAAGGTGGACCTCATGCGGCCTGTGGGCCGTAGTTTGAGGATCCCTGCTTCATATGGTAATGGCTGCAATAATTGTACTTGCCAAACATGGGAAAGAAAAAGGGATGCCGACTGTTGAAGAATGCATTTTGAAATTGACTGAATTAGAAGAGATGGCAAAATTAATTGCTTTGATTAGTGATAATGGACTAGACAGCTTTATAAGAGACAGAAAACCGTTTGTGGACTTTCTACATGCTAAATACAATAACCGATGGTTAACAGAGGGATTTGAAGATTAGTATAATGTTTAGCTTAACCTGTTGACTGATTTATTTGATCAATTTTTGTACACTATTGTTTTTCTTTTTTGTTGTTGCTAGTGTTGAATGTAGGCTTTTGTTTTGTTTGTTTTTCTGTTTTACTTTTTATGATAAAACAAATAATATTTTAAAAAAGAAAAATGGTTAGCAATCCTGCTCTCTCTTTTTTGGAATAAAGTTGCAACATAAAATAACTTGAAAATCATCTTGAAAGAACATACTTACGTTTCTCCTTTTGAAAAGCAACATGTAATGTAGAGCATAACACAATGAGCCAGCTCATGTGACTAAATCCTAGAATGGTTTCCATTTTATTTTCTGTATATGCAGGAAAGAATTATAGAATGAAAGAAATTAGCTGCTTATTTGTAAATAGTATCAAAGTCTATACATTGTTTAATTATCTTGTTAAATATTGCCTAAAACATGCAATGTTTTAATCAGTCCAAGTGGAGATTTCTATGGTGGACAACAGATCATAATACTTTTCAAGTTTTTAGATAATGAAATAGTTTTAATTATACCAGCAGTTAAAAGAAATTTATGACCTCACTATTTTATAGTGTGACAAAATGTAATGTAACTACCTCCAAACCAATTTATAATTTATTCCCCCCCCCAAAAAAAAGAACATAAAAAATAACGTTTTGATAATAGCTGACTTGAACAAATGCTATTTTTGATTTCTGGACTTTTAATGTTGTATGTTGCTCATAATCCCATAAGAAAAAAGAGGGTATCCTTAGCTGCATAATCCTTCAAATAGGTAGGCTGTCCTACAATATTATTCAGTATGTATCTGAATAAGTCTCAAGGGTTGAATATATCTCTACATTCAATAAGGCTATTCACAAGTATAGGACTATAGGATTGCAAATTAAACCATAGTTCGTTTAAAGAGTTTACTTTAAAGAAAAAAGGCATGAGATTTTACATGAGCAGTGACAGCAAAGGATATCTTAATAGAATACATACTTTAAACCCCCTTGCATTACCAAACATATTTTGCAACATATATACAGTATAAATATATTCTGCAGAAAATTCATGAACTCAAAAGTATCACCCCATTCCTTAATTCTGACTAATCTAGCAAATAATAATTATAATACGTATAATAATAAATGGAAAGATTTTCTAGTTACCATCTAATATTTGAAAATAATTATACTAAGGCAACAGTCAAATGATACTCATAACTTACTGTTATGGTTTCTTTTCAATAAAGTATATATAAATATACTAAATAATAAAATATCCTGTCACATACATGCAGTCATACATAGGTATCTCATGCATATATAAAAAATTAAAAAAGATAAAAATATGCAGAAAGTAACATTTATAATATGATAGCCTTTGAAGTCAAGAGGAAAGATAGAGGAGTCTGTTTTAGGGAGCACAATTTTTCAACTGATGGAGAAAAGAATGTCAGGGCCATTTAGACTGACAGAAAGATAGAAGAATGTGTCTATTATAATAAGACTAATTTGGGAAATATACAAATCCTAGATTATTTTAGATGATAAGAGACTGGGAACTATAATTGGTTGAGGTATGATAACTGTCCATTGCCATGCTAGTAAAGGGCAAGAAAATGTAGTAGTGAAGCTTTAAATCATGAAGACAGTCCAACTATTAGACTTAAACAATTAAGCAAAATGATAGTTTGATATAAACTTACTTCTATTATCTACTTATCTGTTGTCATCTAACTATCTTCTGGATGGAGAGTTTTCCTTACCTCATTATCTTATCAGGCCTCAAGGAAAATGTTGTTTGAGTGAAATTGTAAAAACACAGTTGTAGAGAATATAGATTCTTGTTCTCAGAATCACTCTGACATCAGTAAGTTCCTGTTTTTAAAAAAAGGGAAGTTGATTAAGGTTAGGGTTGAATTCTTTTTTTTTTTTTTGTGGAATATGGAGATGTATGTAAATGACCCAAGACTGAGGAAGACACATACCACCAATAGGGTGTTATATGTATATGTGTATGTATATGTGTGTATATGTATATGTATGTTATATGTACATTAGATATATATGTATGTACGGTATATATGTTTTTAGATGCATACAACTATTAAAAAAGTCATGACAATAGGCTAAAAATTGCCTGGATCCTTTCATAGTCCATTGCAATTATTCATAATACATCAAATAGCAATTTACTGATATCCTTCAGGCCTGCACTGGAACAGTGGGCTTCTTAACTAGCAATATGGCAACACACTCCTTCTGGAGTAAGACGACCATACTGACAGCTGATATAGAGTTAACATTCTCTGATATTTAATTCATAAGCAAGAGAAGAACTTCCTAATGACAAAATGTGGAGGTCACAAAAGTTTCAATGTTTTTAGTGACCCGTTACAACATTATTTACTCTTTTTTTTTAAAAAAAAAAAGATAGATAGATAGATAGATAACCTTTATTGTCATTTTTTACTGTGAGCACAATGGTACACATTAAAAATGAAATTTAGTTGCTTGCTCTCAAAGTGTACACATGCATAACACACATTTAAACATACTATATACAACATATGTTTAGACCTACACCCTTACATAAAAGTAACATATAAATATTAATCACAGGCAAAATTCTTTATCAGGGAAGGTCTCACTGTGCAAAAAGAAAAAAAATTCAGAATATGACAGGAAAAGAACATTTCAAGAAATTGTGATATTGCTTCATCAAGAATACACATTTCCTCTTTTCAGAGTTCCTATTTTCACAGCACTTCAGCTGAGAAAGAAAAAGAGCTTCTGATCTGCAAAGATCTATTGTTAACATACAATTATGATCAAAATTTGAAATGAAAATTTATTAACTTTCTTTTAGCCTAAAAAGGAAAAAAAAGAATAAAAGTAGAAGCATAGTAACTACTGTATAATATATAGTTGGAATCTCCATTTCTACATGAAAGTATTAAAGATTTGTATAACTCAACAAGATAGTTCCATGGATATCCAGCTTAAGTACTCCCTATTGAGTCATGTCTACGTAAGTACTAATTTTGGCTTCAATAGAACGGCAACTTTCATATCTTTATTTGGAAGTAATCATTGTTCCACCTATTCATATTTATCTAATTATTATAAAGAACTTATGTCAGGCTTGAACAATTTGTAAAATTCACAAATTAATCTGCAACAGATTGTGGATCCTTAGCACAAGAGATAAGACTTTATTGATTCAAGCATTACAATAATGCAGTAATTAGATTTGAAAACCCAAATACATTGTCCCCAGTTGGGAAGAATGCTGAACACAAGAGGGAATCATCACTGTTTTGAGAAAGAGGGCCACTCTTTCTTGAAATTTGAGTGGGTATACCCAGGGCAAAGAGGTCAATATGATATATATGAAACCTGCCTTTTATCTGAATTGAATTAGACTAATCCAATACCCAACAAGATTGTTTCTCATCTATTTAATACAATCATAAAATGGGAATGTTCAGGGAGATCATGTGGCCCATGTGGACTCTCTATTTTTTTTAAATATATTTTTATTGAAGAAGTTTTAACTAAATAAAACAATACACATATTAGAGAAAAAACTAAGGAAAATAAGGAGGAATATAGAATAAGTAAGAAAAAAATAGAAAAAGAAAAGGCTTCAAACTTTTTGATAGTGGTTATAAATGCACTTATATTTTACTGTCTCCAAAGCTACATCATAATTCCAGCCACTTTTTAAACACATCCAGAGAAGGATTTTACTACTCCACAACAATCTGTTCCTTTTACCACTAGAAATTTATTTTTTTCCTAATGTCAGTTGATTTCTACTTTCTTGTAGTTTAAACCTATTTTTCTTGTCCTTTCTGGAAACACTCTGAAAGATGCTGCCCCTAGCTCCTGCAGATACTTGAAGAAAGGGATCACGTGTCTATTTTCTCTAGGTAAAACATACCATGCCTGTAATCATTCCACATAGGCTTTTCATCTAGGCTGCTCAAAATTGATTACTTTTCTTGGGACACACTTCTGTTTATTCATGTCCTTTTCCAAATACAATGCCTGAAACTGGATCCAAATAGGCCATTCTGCATTCTGACTCAGTGAGAAAATAAAAATGCCAAATCCAGTCTGAATATCTGAGTGATTGTGCAACCAATTATAACAATGGAATTGGAGTGAGGACAAGAGGTAGCTGCACTGAGAAGAAAAGTAAAAATGGAAAAGAAAGAAGATACAACTGGATGGAGATGAAATGAGAGAAAGAGAAGGAAGGGAAAGAAAGGAGAAGAAAAGATAATAAGGAAAGGCAAGACAAAAGAGAGAAGCTGTAATATTTGCTACTTGCTCAAAATACAAAAGAGCCCCTGAAGCATCTCCTAAAGCAGGGGTAGACAACTCAAAACACTCAAAGAGCCACTTGGACACATTTCCCACTGAAAACAAAACACTGGGAGCCGCAAACCCCTTTTGATATCTAAAATGAAGATAACGCTACATATATCCTTTTTTACCTTTAATGTGTGTGTTTGTGTGTGTGTGTTTGTGTGTGTATATATAAAATAAAGGTAAAAAAAGGATATATGCAGTGTTATCTTCATTTTAGATGTCAAAAGGGTCTCTCTCTGTCACTTTCCTCTCTTTCTCTCTTTCCTCTCTTTCTTTCCTCTTTCTCTCTTTCCTCTAACTTTCTCTCTCTCTTTCTCTGTCTCTCTTTCCTCTCTCTTTCTCTTCTCTTTCTCTCTTTTCTCAATCTTTTTTCTTTCCTCTCCCCCTTTCTTTCTTCTTTCTCTCTCTTTCCTCTCCCTCTTTCTCTCTCTCCCTCTTTCCTCTTTCTCTCTTTCCTCTTTCTCTCTCTTTTCTCTCTCTCTTTTCTCTCTCTTTCCCTCTCTTTCCCCTTTCTCTCTTTCCTCTGTCTCTCTTCTCTCTCTTTCTCTTTTCTCTTTCCTTTCTCTTTCCTCTCTTTCTCTTTTCTCTAACTTTCTCTCCCTCTTTCCTCTCTCCTCTTTCTCTTTTCCTCTCTCTTTCTCTTTCCTCTTTCTCTTTCCTTTCTTATTTCTTTCTCTCTTTCTTCTAACTTTCTCTCTCTCTCTTTCCTTTCTCTTTCTTCTTTCTCTTAATCTTTTTTCTCTTTCCTATCCCCCTCTCTTTCTTTCTCTCTTTCCTCTCCCTCTTTCTCTCTCTCCCTCTTTCCTCTTTTTCTCTTTCCTCTCTCTCTTTCCTCTTTCTCTTTCCTCTCTCTTTCTCTCTCTCTTCCCCCTTTCTCTCTCTTTCCTCTCTCTCACTTCTCTCTCTTTCTCTTTTCTTTCTCTTTTCTCTCTTTCTCTTTCCTCTAACTTTCTCTCTCTTTCCTCTCTCTCACTTCTCTCTCTTTCTCTTTTCTTTCTCTTTTCTCTCTTTCTCTTTCCTCTAACTTTCTCTCTCTTTCCTCTCTTTCTCTTTCCTCTCTTCCCCTCTCTTTCTCTTTCCTCTTTCTCTTTCCTTTCTCTTATTTCTTTTTCTCTCTTTCTTCTAACTTTCTCTCTCTTTCCTCTCTCTTTCTCTTCTCTTCCTTTCCTCTTTCTCTCTTTCCTCTCTCTCTTTCTCTCTCTCTCTCTCTCCTTCCCTCCAGGTGAAGAGAGAGACCAAAAGGCAGATGGTGCCAAACGGATGGGGAGGAGGAGCAGGACGGGAGGCAGCAGCTCCCAGCCGCCCCCCCGCCACAGCCGAATGGGCAGGGAGGGGGAGCAGGACAGGAGGCAGCAGCTCCCAGCCGCTCCCGCCGCATCCTCAGCCAAATGGGCAGGGAGGGGGAGCAGGACAGGAGGCAGCAGCTTTGGTGGTGGCAGCAGCGGCAGCTCCGGCAGCAGCCAGTGCAGCATGGTCAGGATCCCTGCCGCCCCCGGCCCAGCCCCCCGCCACATCCTCAGCCACTTCGCTGTTGCAAGAGGAGGGCGCCAAGGCCGGGTGCACAATAGGCGGCCATGCCAGCAATGGGGAGTGCCACCATGGTGACGAGAGAGGGTCTCGATCACCGCTGGCCCTGCTGGCCTCACAGCCCAAGGTCTCCTCCAGCACCAAAGGCGGTGGTGGCGGCGGCTCACCGAAAGCGGCCGAGCAAGGCGTCACCAATGGGGCCGAGATGAGTCTGGGCAGTGGAGAGCCCTGCAGCAGCCAGGCAAGCTTCATACCTGACTGCCAGCCGGCCCGGCCTGGGGATACATGTGGCCGGCTCGGCTTCCTGGGGAGCGATGCCAGCGCCGGCTGCTGCCCCAGCAATGACTGTCACCCGGTCTGGGGAGACATGTGGCTGGCTTGGCTTTCTGGGGAGCGATGCCTGTGCCGGCTGCTGCCCCAGCAATGACTGCCGCCCGGCCCAGGGAGACATGTGGCTGGCTCGGCTTTCCAGGGAGTGATGCCCGCGTCGGCCACTGCCCAAGCAATGACTGCCGCCCAGCCTGGCCGCTGCCCCAGCAATGATTGCTGCCCGGCCCGGGGAGACGTGGCCAGCTCGGCTTCCCAGGGAGTGATGCCCACATCAGCCACTGCACCAGCAATGACTGTCGCCCAGCCCAGCCTGGGGAGACATGTGGCCAGCTCGGCTTCCCAGGGAGCGATGCCCGTGCCAGCCGCTGCCCCAGCACTGACTGCCACCCTGCCTGAGGAGACATATGGCCAGCTCATCTTCCCGGGGAGTGATGCCTGTGTTGGCTGCTGCCCCAGCCATGACTGCCACCCAGCCCAGCCTGGGGAGACATGTGGCTGGCTCGGCTTCCCAGGGTGCAATGCCCTCGCTGGCCGCCACACCAGCCATGACTGCCGCCCAGCCTGGGGCGACATGTGGCTGGCTCAGCTGTCCAGGGAGTGGCCTGAGGATGGCCCAGGAAGCGATGCCCCAGCTGAGACTGCTGCCTGGAACAAGTATGCCAGGGGGGGTGCCACCTGCCCTGCGGCCGCTTCGCGGCAGTGCTCCATAGACTCAGAGCCCCCTCCCTCCCCCCACCACTGACCCTCTGTCTCCAGGTCTGCTGCTGCTTGGCCAACGGTCATGCTGGCTGGGCATCGGAGGGGCTGCTCTCCCTGGGTCCGTGGTTTGTGGAAGAGCTGGCTTACTCAGTGGAGGTTCGGGCGGGCCATTCCCAGAGGGGATC